GCACCTCAACGCCAGTTGTCTGGCTATCCGACTAATCCTCAGGTTTCAATACCTCGAGTCACCAACCCAGAATTAGTGACTAGAAGTTCTGACTTTATGTATATGTCTCAATATGTATACTTGTTCCCAATCCATCAAAGCTAGAGGGGTCAGCACAATAGCCAGACAGGAGCAGGTCAGAAATGGCAGCCTGTGTATTTATTTTAGGAAAATATTTATATAGACCAAACAACATTCACTGAATTTTCTATATGGACTACTGAATTTGTACTGAAAAAATATATCAGAAAGAAAACGTTTTTTGTATAAGGGTTGTTAGGAAAACGAGAGAACTTGTCATGAGTATGAATACTTTCGGCATGACAAAGTAGCTGACCAGATAAAGTTGTTATTCACTTTAACATCTTATGCAATCTCATGCTTTACAAAATGCCAAGTAGTTCCACTTTTAAAGGATATCCAGAGGCGAAATACAACATAAATAGGATAATTTCTATTATCCATCCAACCCCTTTAAGAAATCACTTTATATTTTTATAGTATAACAATGACAGCCTATGACAGGTCAGAAATGTAAATTGCATTGAAGTCATGTTTCTTTAGGTTGACACTACCTGCGTTTGTCTAAATCACATAATGATGAACTAATATAGGTTAGACAGTCAGTCATGTTATATCAGTATCATGGATATAAAGTGTCTGTATGACTAAAACCAAACCAGTTATAACAAATGTTTGTCAGGGTTCATCCTCCATGTCATCATCCCAGTGAGAGTTGTCAAGGGAACCGTTTCCACTGCCGACATATTAATCAGCAGGTGGAATAAAGGACCAGGAAGTAATTCTGCTTACAGCTGACTTTACACACCAGCATAATAAATCGCATATGGTGACATTTGAATCTTGAATGTACAACAGGATGAACACGTGTCTAAAAGTGTATGAAACACATTGCAGACAATGGGATTGCTGATTATCATCTAACAAGTGAATAAAAGAAATGAGTGTCATTCAGATGGTAATGTTAAAACAAATCCTGCAATCAACATGATGATAATGCTTTCAGAATATCGGCAAACTGCCACCATTTGGATAGTTTCAAACACAACCCCCGTTTAAAGCAGATTCCATGTACGTGAGCCATTTTATTTTTCAGGAGATTGAGGTAAACCTGTCAGGTGATATAAAGGCAAAATGCCAGCAACACAAACCAATGGCAGGCCCTTGACGATGTCTGCAAATACCTTTATTTTTTTCCGGTAATGTTTCCTGTGCTTACAGGTCACACTTTATACAGAGGCCTTGACTTTTTCTTTCGACTTGCACCTAAGACCCACCCACTGCCATTCAATAGAACAGTGCAAGAACCTTTACCAACTGTCACTGATTGTTGAATAGCAGGGGTGCAGCTTAGCTGTATATCAGACTATTTGTAATGGTCTTTATGTATAGTGTGTTCCATTTTGCAAGCGAGACATTTTTGCTAAGTTTTAAAGAACTGCAAACGCTGCAGAACAAAAGAGAAGTCGTTTTTTAATAACGTATACATTACAAAATGATTTATGAATCTAAAATATGTATTTTATTTAAAATAAAGTGGAATATTCTATTAAAGTGACACCAAACTCAGGAGTTAAACCTTAAAAATGCATTTGAGTACCGTAACTATTAACAAAATGTATCTTATTTGTGTATCACTCGGCTGTAGATCCTCGAATCATCTCTGAATTGGTGCTGACACTGTCCTTCCTTCTAGAGGGTGGCGACTTTTCTTCCCCATGGTGCCTGGGTGTGTTGTAAAGTAGTTACCGCTCCAAGCTCACTGCTGTGATGGACTACAATCTCATGTTTATTTTACTAATTTGTATTGAGATTGTAGGCCATCAGGGCAGTGAGCTTGGAGCGGTGACTACTTTACAACACACCCAGGCACCATGGGGAAGAAAAGTAGCCACCCTCTAGAAGGAAGGACAGTGTCAGCACCAATTCAGAGATGATTCGAGGATCTACAGCCGAGTGATACACAAGTAAGATCCATTTTTGCTAATTGTTAAGATACTTGAATGCATTTTTAGGATTTAATTCCTGAGTTCAGTGTCCCTTTAATGTGTGTACCTGAAGCACCACAAGCTGCTTACGGTGGTCCACTTACTAAATACAGGGGCCTCAGGTGCACATATTATTTACAGTATATGTAATGCAGGGGAAGGTTTTGCAGACTGTGGACATGCTACTGGTGTAGTTGGAGACTGAGGACATGCAGCAAGAGATGGTGAGAGACTGGGAACCTATTACATGTGACTGCTAGAGATCACTACAAATCCATTCTCCCACTGCAACTACGAGCTTCTGGATCAGGATTAACGCAATAAGTATCAAAGTGCCCCAGCTTGGGCTCTACATTCGATTGTTCCACCTACTGACCCCTACGTTATTACAGCGTTGGATGATGAAGACAGCAGGAATCATCAGCGAGGGCAGGAGAATAGGAAAATATTAAAACCTTTTTTTTTTTTTACAGGTAGCATTTCTATTTAATTTCAGTGGAATCACTTTAAAAGTGAATAACCTACTAATCCTTTATCACATATATGAGTATTGGTTTGAAAAAATACTGAACAGTAGAAGTAACAATATTTAATTATTAACATGTTCAATTATATTAGCACGTTAAAAGCAGATTCTGTATGTTAATGTTCATTTAAAATAAATATATCTATATATGTGTTATATACTTTTTTGTAATGAAATGTATTGTAAGCATTAGAGGAAAGCAGGTCTAATGGCAAAGCAGCCCTTTTTTTTTTAAATGAAAGAGCTCTTGAAATCATATAATAAATCCAGATATCACCATTTCCACCTTTTACTTGAAGTGAGAGGAAATCTAATTTTAGACCCGTACCTCACACGGCACAGTTTATACAAAGCAAAACAGGGGGAAGGTTCAATTGCATCACAGAAGCAGCTTATTTCTTTTGGAGTTCAGACATGCAGGTTTGTTATGCTGGATTACAGATGTGTCCACCAATGGGTCCTTTCTTTCCAAATTCTTCTACATGTGACTGATTTTATATGCATGAAGCTTCTTAAAGAGACCCATTAGTAGCATGAACAAAATTAAATGAGGGGCGCCCAAAAACAGAATATGGTGAATACTTTTCTTTCTGGTGGGTGGCGAGTGAAATCTTCCCTGTTCAACAACTACATGTGCCACTATTTTCTGACACTTCTGAGTGTGTTCGATAACAGGTCCCTCGCTGGGTCCTGGGGTTCACACAGTAGTGACGTAGTGGCCCGGAGGAACCACGGTACCTAACCAGTAAAAACTAAATGTCCCCCCTGGAGCTTTTAGCCATAACGTGCTAGTATTTACAGCATATAAGCTGCACCCCTGCTATTCAACAATCAGTGACAGTTGGTAAAGGTTCTTGCACTGTTCTATTGAATGGCAGTGGGTGGGTCTTAGGTGCAAGTCGAAGCAAAAGTCAAGGCCTCTGTATAAAGTGTGCACCTGTAAGCAAAGGAAACATTACAAGAAAAAAATAAAAATAAAAGTATTTGCAGACATCGTCAAGGGCCTGCCATTGGTTTGTGTTGCTGGCATTTTGCCTTTATATCACCTGACAGGTTTACCTCAATCTCCTGAAAAATAAAATGGCTCACGTACATGGAATCTGCTTTAAATGGGGGTTGTGTTTGAAACTATCAAAATGGTGGCAGTTTGCCGATATTCTAAAAGCATTATCATCATGTTGATTGCAGAATTTGTTTTAACATTACCATCTGAATGACACTCATTTCTTGTATTCACTTTTTAGATGATAATCAGCAATCCCATTGTCTGCAATGTGTTTCATACACTTTTAGACACGTGTTCTTCCTGTTGCACATTCAAGATTCAAATGTCACCATATGGGATTTATTATGCAAATGTGTAAAGTCAGCTGTAAGCAGAATTACTTCCTGGTCCCTTATTCCACCAGCTGATTAATATACGCAGGTGGAAGAACCATTACTATTAAGATTTAACTCCTGAGTTTAGTGTCACTTTAACCCTTAGCTCTCCTCACTATAACTCCAGTATATTCTTTTGCAGAATGCCTCTTATTTATATGTTTTGTCATAGTAACGGGGTTACTTTAAATAGTAATAGAGTGTTCTACAACTGTGGAAATGTATGTATCTGTGTATTTATGATTTTCCATTACTTATGCTAACAAATTGTAAACAATGCTAAAGAACTTCTGCTAGTTATTTGCCATCTCTTTATTCCTCCACAAAATGTGATCAGACAAAAAAAACAAAAAACAGTAGAAAAGTGGCTTTTAAATTACACAAGAGAACCAACCATGTTATAAACCTTGTGGAAGAAAAAACTGTAGAGGGCAGGATACACTTACATCCAATCAATGGCAAATACACCAAAGGTTATAAAGTAAAATGTACAAAACATGACTGTTGAGCAAGTTTCAGAGCATCGCTTCCACACTATTTTCTGACACAACTTTTACAAATATGTAGTCTCTTACAAAGACAGAAATCATTTCATCTTCTGGTCCTATAATTGAGTGAGCAGCAGAAAACTGGAGTGATCGCAACTTATCAATGTGGAAAGCTGGATCATTAAAACTGTGCCACCAGCGCTCTTAGAAAAATGTTACACTGGCAACAAAATATTATCAAATTAGGTTAAATTCAAAATAAAGCAACATAAGTAAATGTAACCCAATTCCAATAAGAAGCACAAAAAAAAATTGTATTCCTCGTCTTGGACGGTGTTACAATTTCCAGTACACAGCCAGTGTTACAGTTAAAACATACACTTTATGCTTTCTATGCACATTAAATGTGACAGGCTATAGAGTTGCCAGGGCTATATGGTTTTAAGACATCTGAAGTAATAATTAAATCTTCCAAATCTTTAATCTTCAAAGTCACTTTGATTTTAAAGAACAGGGCCTGACTGAATTAAATCTTAAATTAAAATTCAGAGTCTGATCTTTTTTTTCCAGGCCCTTAATAAATATGTTCTTTCCGTGTTCCACAAAGCAAGACGTCCAGAAGGTATTAAGAGCTGCCCACTCGGTCTCTGGGAATGAGTCGGAGTTCAGAGCCGTGTTTAAGGAAAACATTTCCTGGAAAGAAAATGAATTACAAAATGTAGGTCAAAACTGTGCACACTCTACATGCAACTAGGCATCTTTGTCAAATTCAAGTTTATGTTCAGTGCAATTTTTTATATTCCCTTTTGGATAGATTGGGGAATGATTAGAACCCCTGTCTAGTTTTTGCTGCTATCTGGAGCTCCATTAGAGATTTCCCCTCACTAACTTTTACAGTGACAATGGTTCACCCAACAGGAAGTAGGGGAAAAATTCCAACAGGGACAGAAGCAGAAAAAACCGTCTGCCTTGAATTAGGCTGAACGAGTAAAATAGAGCAGATTCCTCCATCAACACTACGAGTGTGTCGATCAAGGATTTCCACTGTTTGCACTGTATTCTGCAGGTCGCTGTCAGAATACCCAAACAGAGCCGGCAGCTCACTTTTTGTCTAAGTGCTATAAAAAGTTATACTCACATGAACCGAAGAGCCAGCTTGGTCTTATACCGGGTCCTTCCAACCTCTTTCCCCCTCCGATGCAGCGATCTAAGCTCCCATAAATCATCACATTCTCTACACAGTGTACAGGCATGAGGACATCGAGGAAGATTCCAATGCTGCAGGAGGAGACAGGCTTCAGAGACGAGAGAAGAAGGAAGCCGGGCTCTGTGGTTCAGGTAAGTATAACTTTTTTAGCACCTAGACAAAAACTAACAGTTAACCCTTGCAGTGCAGGAGTAGCCCCACTGCAAGGGTTCATAAAAGTTTTGCCTGGAATAATTGAAAATATAGATAATTGCGTGCAATGGGTGCTTTACTGCTCTGAGTGTCAGGAACATAGTCCAACATTTAAATACCCACACTGGTAATTTGGTCACCTTAATCAAAAAACGGTGAAATGTGTCATAGCAGCTGACTGTCCAGTCATTCATGCCCCCAAAGAATAAATAAGCATTTGTAATTGTATAGTTAATGCAGTAACTATACAACAGTCACCACACAGTAACCAAACCAAATGCACTTGTGCCACATTCATTAACACAAATATTATGTACAATTAAACATGATAATCATGATCTTTAAAAAATAAATTATCTAATTATTTAAGCTACTCATTCAGATTCATTTTCAACTTTACATTAGGATATAGAAATGCGAAGCTTGATAATGAAGCACAGATCTACAAGCAATTATGTACCACGTCTTCATTCTACAATACCAACTAAAAATGCTAACACTTCTCATTTAACTATTCAAGCATTTATAATGACTGCGTGATGCAAAGACACAACAGTCGTCTTTGGAAAAATAATACAAGAAAACTCACATATTTTTTGCAATTATTGTACCTTTTTCTTTTGAGAAGAAAAATGCAATCCGTTACAGTACATTTAATGCTGGGAAGGTTCATTGTGGAATTAAATGACAGGTATATTAATTACCCAGCAAGAAGCCTAAATTAATTGGTTCATGCATGTTGAAATTACATCTTTATTTTAAAATGATCTGCAGGGCCATTTGCCCACTGTTGCTACGCTGCGCCCTGTTGCTGGGAGTGAATATTTAATAGCAATAGGCAGAAACCATCAGGAGGAATTTTAAATTATCCAAGATCAGAAGGTCTAAAATGAATTTCCCCAACTAGCGGGTTTACGGAAATGGTGTCGGCTAGAGTCAATTACCATGCCCTTCAATAAGCTACAAAAACTAGACAATCTTACACACAAGTAATTGAATGTACTGGTCTTAATTTATGCAATGTTAGTTTTCAATTAACATATGATCACTATGCCTCTATTAAAGACAAATAGGTGACCCCTCGAGCATTACCGATAATAAGAAAATCATTCAAGTTTAACATTCTGAGAGTAACGAGCAGATAAATAAAAAAAAAAAAGCCTGTATCATAAGTGTTGCTGACTAATTAGAAAGAGATCATACCAAAATGTCTACCTGTAACTTGTAAGTCAGTTCTAAAAAAAATAAAAGGCTGACGGCTTATTAAAGTCATTCCATGGGCACTGCCCCTTAAAGGAGAACTATGGGGTTAAGGCTTTTCCCCATAGTTCTCCTTAGGGTAACGGGAGGACACAAACTAGCGTCCTCCCATCACCCTAGGCTCAGTATACCGCGAGCTGCTGCTCGCGGTATACTGAGATGCCGCAGCTGAAGCGGATCCCGACAATTATGCCGGGAACCGCCCGCTGCGTGACTGACAGCTGGCTCTGCCTATCTAGAGGCAGAGCCAGCTGTACCCGCCCCCTCCCCCGTCCGGCCAGTCAGCGCTGGCGGATCGGAGAAGGGAGGGGGGGAATCTAGCCCCTCCCCTGTCACGGCAGAGGGCTGTGACAGGATCGAGAGGTGAGCGAACGCCGGTATGTGTTCGCTCACCTCCTGATCTACTGAGCCGACCTGTGACAGTCTCATTGTCACAGGTCGGCTAGAACTATGAGGTGAGTGAAAAGCACTCACCTCATAGTTCTCCTTTAAGGATTTTTCATTTGCTGTATAATATGGAGAATGCATCATGATGAGTTTGTCATTGCCAGATGGGGAGATCTTATTGATGAAGTAACTGACAAGTGTAAGAAGTCAGACAGGAATTAAACCTTTTAGCTTTGGATAAAGCTTTTGTTTTTTAGGTTTTGGATGAACCGACCCTTTAAGTTAGAACTGGGCATTTTCTGGCCCTTGGTCTGAGGATGTCTGACGAGCCGACCTGTGCTCCTTTACGGCTGGCTGACAGTGGATGCGCCGGCCTCCAAAGCCGATGCATCCACTTAAGCCATAGCTCAGTACAGGTTGGCGATCAGTCTGTGTTTGGACACAGTTTCTCTTTGGTCCTTGGTTGCTAGGACCGCTCGTGTCCTAGTAACCGATGATGGCAGACTTCCAACTCTGCAATCATTTGTTGCTACCGTAGGTCTGCTGGGCGGTCCTAGCAACCAACGACAACGTGGTCCTCCTCTGTCCCCGCTCTTGCAACTCCTGCCCGTGGAAAAAAATCCACAAAACTTAAAAACAGTGCGAGTGTGTGTGGAGGTAGTTGGGGTTGGGCATGTGTAGATTCCCGCCCAGCAATGGCTAAGGCACGGTACCGTGCAATGCACCTACTGTGCTTTACAGTGCGCCAGGTGCGTTGCATGTTCTACTTTTTTCAACCACACCATAAACGCATGGTATTACGGTACCGCATGTTGTGGCACAGTCGATCACACTGCCACCAGGAGGTGAGTTTGGGGAGCCATTCAAATGAAAGGCAATGAAAAGCACCTGCTGCACTGTAATGCATGGGTGGGACATTGCGCGGTACAGTGCATTAATCGGTTTAGCCCTCCACAGATCAATACATGGCTATATAGAGTCCAGATCTCAGGGGGCAAAAAAAAAAAAAAAAATTAATAACAGACTCCCAAAGTGTTTGATCCTCTTCCATTTACTGCTTAAAGATTGGTTGACATGACATTTGAGTATAATTAAATTATTACCCCCTCTAAGTAATACATTAACCTGGTAAAGCGGACATATATTGGGCGAGTATCTCAACCAATTATTCTACTTGTAGGTCTAACCTGCTGAAAGCTTTCAGGTCAGCAAAAGACACTCAACTGCCACGATGAAGCATGTGTGTACGTCAAGACATCAGTACTCTTACTATCCGCACAATACCAATGTCTGGCTTGGGTGTTAAATATTTGAATTCTCCATCACCGATAATGTCCTAATCACTGTATTTGAGGGTGAGGGGCGAAAACTGCTGGTGTATGGTCTGCTTTCATTCAATTTGTCACCACAGCTTTATGCAGCAATTTAATTTGCATTATGTCTTCATTACAAAAAATTTACTTACCAGCTGTCTGTGCTGGATTTAGCCCTACTCCATCTGTAGGAAAAATCCAAATCGTTAAAATGCATTAAAATGAAACAAATATGCATTTGATGTCAAGTACTAAAGAATAAGATGAAAGAAAATGACTGCAACACTGACAGCGTGGAATTCTCTTTGTGGCTGTGTAACTTGTCAGACAATGCAGGCTTTGCTAAACAGCGTAGTTCAAAAGCAATGATATGCAGTAACCTATAACATCTAGTCAGAAGAAAAATGAAATGCTTGCTCAGCTAACTGGTTGTTGTGGGAAATCACTACTCTATACAATATACATCATTGCATGAAGCCTCTTGGGTTGTCTAATTGCCAGTATGCAAACATAACTCTGAACATTATTTCGTCCAGTCAAGATACAAAACTACTATGTATACAGTACTGTGCAAAAGTTTTAGGCAGGTGTGAATAAATGCTGTAAAGTAAGAATGCTTTCAGAAATATATATTTATCAATTTGCAAAATGCAAAACCGAGTGAACAGAAGAAAACCCAAATCAAATCAATATTTGGTGTGACCACCCTTTGGTTTCAAACCAACATCAATTCTAAAGCTGCCCATACACCTTGTGATCCGATGATCGAACCTGGGAAACAGTTTCATGTCACAGGTCCATACACCATGACCAGACTGCGCACAGCAATGACACTAGGTAGTTGTACTGCATCAGCAAGGTCTCTCCCAGGCAAAGATTTCAAAGCAGACTATGTTTTCAAGATGTACTGTTCAATCTGTTTTAAAGAAGCAAAAAGAAACAAGTAACGTTGAGGATCGTAGACGCAGTGGTCGGCCAAGGAAACTTAATGCAGCAGATGAAAGATTTTTTTTCACCTGTTGTAGCAAATTGAACCATGCTTTATAGGGTTATTTTTGCCTTCCTCTGGATCAACAGTGGGTAATTGTGGGCATAGCGTTCTGTTTAGGGTTTATTATTTTTTTTTCTTTTCATATCTCTATAGGTTGAACTCGATGGACATGTGTCTTTTTTCAACCTGACTAACTATGTAACTATGAAAGACACATCATGCTAACTTCCCTTCAACATCGGAAGATGTCCAGTAGTGCCACAGGTACACCCATCTGTGGAGCAGTCTGTCCAGAAGTGGTTTTCATGGAAGAATTGCGGTGAAAAAGCCATACCTCTGACATGCAAACAAGGCTAAGCAACTTAGCTATGCATGAAAACATAGAAACTGTGGTGCAGAAAAATAGTAGCAGGTGCTCTTTGGACTGAAGGAGTCAAAATGTGAAATATTTGGCTGTAGCAGGAGGCAGTTTGTTCACCGAAGGGCTGGAGAGCAGTACAATAATGAGTGTCTGCAGGCAACAGTAAAAAAATGATGGAGGTTCCGTCCAAGTCTTGGGCTAAATTTCTGCAAATGGAGTTGGAGATTTGGTCAGAATCAATTGTGTCCTCAATGCCGAGTTATAATAGCAGATCCGTCATGCCATACCATCAGGGAGGCATGTGATTGGCCCCAATTTTATTCTGCAGCAAGACAACGACCCCAAACATGCAGCCAATGTCATTAAGAGCTATCTTCAGTGTAAAAAAGAACAAGGAGTCATGGAAGTGATGGTTTGGTCCCCACAGAGCCCTGATCTCAACATCGAGTCTGTCTGGAATTACATGAAGAGACAGAAGAATTTGAGGCAGCCGACATCCACAGAAGATCTGTGCTTAGCTCTGTGCGAGTTCCTTCAAAAACTGTGTGCCAGTGTACCGAGAAAAATTCATGCTGTTTTGAAGGCAAAGGGAGGTCGCACCAAATATTGATTTGAATTTCTCTTCTGTTCATTTACTTTCCATTTTGTTAATTTATAAAAAATAAACTATTCACACTTTTATTTTTTTGAAAGCATTCTTATTTTACAGCATTTTTTCACACAGTACTGTATATAGTAACAGAAAGTATCGGTACTTGTACTCGGTCTGGAAAAAATGGTATCGCTGCATCTATAATATATACATATATATTTGCCTGTAAGCTGTATTACTAAATACTAAACATTATTTTGATTGGTAGTGGTGGTGGTTACTTCTCCAAACTGCATTGTTCCCAACAGAACACAAAAAAAGATGTAAGATACAAGCTCGATTTCCCACCATAGGCTGGAAATTTTAAGGAACAATATATTTTTTCCCAGCATTCATTAAAAAAATAAACTACAAGTTTTCACTTCAAATATTTTGGAAATATGTATTATGCATTTATGTTTTTATTTCCTTGCCTTTGTTCCATTTCTGGATAAACAACAATGTCTCCAATTTCAGGCATATCCCTTCTTAGACAGATATCACCAGAACAAGTTTTCCCAGTGGAGGATTTCCTCTCTATTCCTGTTCATATAACACCCATAATATTTTGGATTTTCCATCGCTTTCTGTCCCAGTACCAATGGTCACCAGGATATATAGGGCGGGTAAACGTATTCAGTAGGAAAAACAACCTATTGGCTTTGGAAACACTTTAATTTTGTGGGCTACACAATTTAGTGGAGTGACATGCCATACAAGCAGCCACGAATAAATACTACTGCACTGCAATAATGCTAACTAGATAAAACATTGAATACAAATGTCAGTATTTATCTGAAGTATAATAAAAAAAGGTTTAGACTGCAAGGTCTGCTTTTTAAATGAAAGTGGAAAGAGGAAGTTACAGCTGCCCGATCACTTCCATGGGCTGTGGAAACGGCAACTGCCACTATTTTCTTCTATAGGATCTCAGCTTTCATAAAATTCTGGGGTGATGGTTGTGATTGAGGGAGGGGGGCCAAGTAATCTTCAGGCCAAAAATGTGCATTTTAATATTTGTGTAAAAATGCTAAAGCAGCTTTGGCGACAAATGGGTTCAACAATTAAGACAATTTGTCTTTTATGTTTACTTACAAAAGTGTGCCTGCTTGAGCAATGGAGGAGTCTGGGGTTGCAGTACAAATGTTTGAGACGTGATGTCGAATATTTATTTCCAGTAGTTATAATAGTCTGCATGTGTTAGTAGCATTCCAATCAGTACCTGTACCCTGCAGAAGCTCACAGTCTAAGGACACTACTACACTAGGGGCAATTTGGAAAGAAACCGATTCCCTTAATGTTATGGGACTTTTGGGAGGAAATCAACACAGACCAGGGGGAAAACATGCAAACTCCATGCAGATGGTGACCCAAGTTCAATTTGAAGCCAAAACTTCGAGCTACAAGGGAACAATTCCAACCACTTTGTAAAGTCCATTGTAATGGGATCCAATACCACCGGTCCCAGCTCTGTATATCTCTATTCAACAAATCCACAACAACGGCAATAAGGATATATATATTGTCATGTCTTTTGGTGTTGAATCAAATTGCAATAACATTCATTACTAAGAAAAGTTTAACAGTGACCTTGTGTGGCTAATCAATTTCAGTGACAGCTTCAAGCCAGGCTTGCAAATGGTAATACAGGATTTATCTCTTAACTAGACCGGTATGTAACCCTATTTATGAGGCTAAGAAAGGTATTCTTTGTGGTGTGCACTTTGGTAGGATACGTTTAAAGCTCCAGGTGAAAGGAACCACCAGCTAATGTATTCAACACCCAGACTTATCACTAGAAATGAATATTCCTCTCATCAGGTCATGATCCACAAGAAGTGGTTCCAAAGAGTTACATTCAGTGGCTAAGAGGACAGGAAAGTAACTTACCATTTGTGATTATCGCACTCGTCTCTGGAGGAACCTTAAACTGAAGAAAAAAAACAACAATTTAGAATATCTGAAGACCATGTTTTTCTTCATCACCAGAACAAAACTAACAGAATCACATTCTTCATAGCCAAGTCCCAGGTCCAACTAAATAAAGGACAGAAGTTTGCTGGGGGGGAACAAAAATGGAAGGGGAAGGTTGGAACAAGGGAGGAGGGGTATAT